TAGTACCTTTGTATCATGTTTATATTTTATTAACTGTTCTTCGTAATGTTTCTTTTTTGCTGCTCTTATTATATGATTTAGTTTATTTTTATATTGTTTGTATATTTTTTCCTTTTTTTCTGTAGGGCATTGAAGGTATTTTTTATATAACTTGTTCTTTTGCTTAACTGATTTTGCAATACATTTTGTCATCCATGGGCTTCGGGTTTTGTCAATATTTCTTTTTACTACTTTTCTTCTTAATGGAAAGTTTTTTTCATAGGCTATTGAAAGTAAGTTAAAGAATTCATTGTAGGACTCTGCCGTGTTGTTTTTAGAAAGTACATTATCCCATGATACATCTGTGATTGTGTTTGTAAACGATTGAATATTGGCATCATTTTGATAATCCTTTTACAGGTAAATTCATTTTTTTGAATTTTTTCATGATACGTTTTCGAGTTTCGTATATGAAATATCGGCAAATGATCCGAGATATCGCTAAAAATTAAACCATTTGAGCTTGATTCTATATTTTCTATATCATTGGTGAAAATATTGTCAATTAATGTAGCGGTATGCTGAGTGATTCTTGTTGGCCTGAGCACAAGTGGGACATATGATGAGGTGAATAGTTGTTCAAGAAATCTGATGGTATAATCACAAGATTTTTATTTCAATAGATCAATATTAAAATCCCCCATTAGATAGCATAATTTGTTTTCTTTGTCTATTTGTCCTAATATTTGATTCATTTCAGTTTCGAATGAGTCAAAATGATTATTTGGTGGCCTATATATTACACCTATTATGATGTTTTTACCTACAGTTGTTATAATTTCGACAAAGACAGATTCAATTACATTCTCAATACTTGTGTTTAGATCAGTGCGTATTTTATAGTTTAGTTCATTTGCGATATAAATACCTACTCCTCCTCCACTTTTAGTTGACCTGTTTACATTTACAAAATCATAATTTTGGAATTTAAAGCGATCTTCGTTAGTTTCATTTAGCCACGTTTCAGTTAAACCTATTATTTGAAACGGTTTATTTAATGAATATATTAATTCTTTAAAAGAGTCAAATTTGTTAATCATGCTTCTAATATTTAAGTGTATCATTGAAAAGTTATTATTTTGGTTTGTTTCATTTATTTGTTCTTTAAAATCAGTTGGTAGATAATATTCACAGTTTATTTTTGACGATTTATCGAGATTTGCATTGTTTTCCGATAATGCAATATTATTATTCGTGTCGAAAGGGTTGAATTTCAAATGCCTTAGTCTATCCATTTCATCTTTCCTCACATTAATTCCTTTTAAAACCGTAAATTCAAATTCTAAATCATCGAGTGTTTGGAAGGGTAAAGATTCAGCTAAGCAATTTTGGCACAAGTCAATCGTATTGTTACCTATGTAGGAGTTGTATGATTTTGTGCATGCAGACACAGCATGAAACCGATTCATACATGTGAGACATTCAATTGATTTTTGTGTTTTTTGAATAGTTTTGAAGCAAGAAGAACATTTCTTCTTGCACTCATTGTTAAGTGTGGTCATTGGAAAGGTTTATAGTGCAATATTTGAATTAAGAAATTAACTATAAAGTATGAACTGTGTTTAGTCAGTAAAATATATAGAGGACTCAGGTTACAGATTGTCAAGACCTATTATTATGAAAGACTTGCCCTTCAATGATCAATTTGTCTCTTACTATTCTGGCCCTTTTACCTTCTGCTCTGGCTTTCTTTAGTTCCGGATACAATGTTTTTCTTATGCTCTCAATTTCTTCTGGGAACTGTTCTGATACTCCGATCTTTGTCCCCTTAAGTTTCTTCGTGTTTAACCGCACGTACTGTCGGTCTTGATGATAGTTAAACTTGACCACGATCGGACGCGGTTTTTGGTTTCTTTCTCGTTTTCTCCCAATCCGATGGGACCGATCGATCTTTACTTTATTCCGCGCGTCATGTATTTCCATCTTCGTTTCTAACAACTCATGAATCATTTCAGTTGTGTTTTCTTGGTCACGTTCTGGGATGTTAAAAAATAGTAAATTGTCACGCATTGATCTTGCTTGAAGGTCTACTATTTTGTTGCGCAACGTGGTGTTGTCTTGCTCAAGCTTTTCAATCTTTTCCTTTGCTTCTGCTTGGTTTGCTTTGCTGGTATCGTTTTCTTTTTTTAAATCGGCAATTTCAGCGTGCGCAAATTCTAAGGAATGTTTGATTTCCTTCATGTCTGCTTCAATTGCGTCGAGCTTCTCCAATTTCGTCATCATTGTAGTGAACATTTGATGAATTTGCCTCATATCTACGTCTTTTTCTCCTTCTTTTTCCTCAGTCCCTTTCTCTGATGCGTTGATTTTCTTAATTTTCGATTTGACTGGTTTAATAGGCATACACAGGTCGATAGTTTTTGAATTTTGCGCAGAGCGCTTGGTTGATTGTTGTTCGTCCGCCATGATATATGATCTTCAATGATCTTCTTCTTTTCTGGTTCAGGCAACTCTCTGATTTTTACTAACATGTCGTAAAAACAAACACAATCAGCATCCTTTAAGAGCAATTTAAAAATTTCAAGTTGGGATTTCAATGCCCCAATGTCTAAATCACCACTGTAGTTGTCCTCAAGAAACTGCAACTCTGTGGAGTAGTCTTGATCGTTTAGAACTTTGAGCAAGAAAGATTCCATCTGTTCGTATACGCTAAAACTTGGCTGGTTAAACCGCTGTTCAATAGCATTTATCATGAAGTCAATGCATTCAAAATATATTTGCCTGTAATAATCTTGAGATGTCGTGGGGTATGATGGCATCCCAGTCCCAATCTCAAACCTAGCAGGTGCACGTCTTTTCCTTGGTAATGTTGGCTCTGAAATTGATGGAATGTTTTTGCTTTTTATTAAAATTGCTTCGTAGAATAATATGAAGCTTTTGTCACTCTGTATCTTTTGTAGAACTTCCTTTGTAAGATTGGCAAGCCGTTGTCCACTTGCAGCGCACATCTTGGTACTCTGTAATGTTTTGGACAAGTTGTCAGTGTGGGAAAACGACCGTTCACCCAAATTTAGTCCAAAGAAGAAGTCATATGTTTTCATTTGTGCTTGGCACCCGATTATCCGTCCACGTATATCCGCTTGGAGTTTCTCATCTAGGCAAACCATCCATTCTTGAAGAAGAGCTGAATAATTGTCCAGGATTCGTTGGAAACATGATGCGCATACTGTCCATCTTGTAGGACACAGCTTTATTATGCCATGTGTTGCCAGTTCTCCTTCTTCGAGGTTTTTTTGTATTTCTCCCAGTAGATTTTCACGTTTTGGAGAAAACTTTATTAGGGTCACAATCTCTTTTGCTGTATCCATAGTATTTGATATCACCTTACAGTTTTTCGTTGTGTCCTTCATACTCAGACTTAATGAATGACCATGACAGTGAGTTGCATGAGCTTTGGGCTGAAGTTCTTGAATTCTCTTGGCTACGCCACTTTTTGACCCAAGCATATTACTGGCTCCATCATAGCATTGCCCTCTGCAATTAGCTAATGATAACTGCAGTCGAACTAATACATCTTTATAGCTGTAACTATTGTCTCAGCACTTATATTAGGTATGTTAAAAAATCCAAAGAAATCTTCGTGAGGATTTAGATGCTTATCCACCCATCAAATGCATATTGTGAGTTGTTCCTTGTTACTTACATCTGTGTATTCATCACTAATGATAGAGAAAAATCCGTTTCCAATGTCAGACACAATATCACGGATAACGTGATTTGCCATGATCGCTATTATTTCATTTTGAATGTCATGTGATGTATATTTCGCGCCTTTCCTCTCCAACCACCTTAAAATGAGAGGTTCGTCACTTCCCCTCAATTTAAGAAGTTGAATGAAGTTCGATTCGTCATCTGTGTCGCCCTGTATGGGTTGCCCTTGTCGAGCAAGGTACCGCAAGCTTCCTATGATTTTAATTAAACACAGACGGTTTGTTTGCATTGTCTTTTTTGCATCATGGCTTGACATTTCAAGTACGTTTCCACATGTTTTCGGAATTAAATGGTACTCAACGGCTGTCTTATGACATTCAGAGATTTGATGTTCCTTAAACCGTGTCAAAGCCTTTTTCCAGTTAGAGAAGCCGTCTGAAATAAAGGCATACTCTTTGTTTCTTGCCGTGCGAAGATTCAATTTTTCATGTTGTTGTGCACAAATAAAACACAACGCAGAATCGTTTTGTTCGTTGTAGTGAAGCCACGGAAACTCTGTAAACCACTTTGACTGAAATGAGCGGGTCTGTTTGCCATATCTTTTCCTCGGAAAGTTGAAATTTATTGGTTGGAATGGTTTTTGTTGTGTCATGTTCACATTAACTTGTTCAGCTTGAGTTGCAGGATGATTATGCTCTACCTGTATCTGCGGTTGTTCGGAAGCGCAAGGCAATTCCTCAATCATCGACGTTGTAACTGTCATTTCATTCGTCGTCGCAGTGATTCGGCCCAACGTTGTTACAGGTGGAGGGACTAAAATGTTTTGAAAGAAAAAGCAACCTTGAATTAATCGGACAACTATCGTATAAGGCAAGCAGCTCATTACTCAGAACACTGACAAACAACTAAAATTAAAACACGCTCGTAAACGACGTTTATGAAGCGAGAGTGAGCAAACCACAAATATATCATAAACTCACCTGTTTCCGAAACAGATGCTTGTTCATTCTTGAAAAAATAGTCTGAAATTTTCGTCGTTTTCTTTTTTCCGAAGCTAGACGTTTGCGAAGTTCCAGCTGCATTATTCATGTTGCCATAGACCATATGAGCTTCTTTGTTCGTTATGACAGCGGGGTTGAATGATCCAGGATGTCCACAGCTATATTTAATACGGCGGTAAACAAATAAACAATCACTTTCAACTGAACTCATGAAGCACGCACTTTCTGATGTTTCAAAACTGGATGTCACACTAGAAATCACTAAGTTTGCATTAGATATTCCCACAAGAAAAAGTAAAAATAAAGGCAGTTTCAACTCCATTGCGGAAACTTTGCAAAAACCATATGAATATAAATAATAATTTCGTTTCGGAGCACGTGGCTGTGTTGAAGGGAACTTCATGTAAGGTACACATAATGGGGTGCTTAGCCTTTATTCATTTTAATTAGATGCGAAAGTTAAAAATGCCTAGAAAAGGTTTAATTAATTTAGAAAGTTTCATTTAGATTTCTATTTTAATAATTTTGGCTGTCAAAAAAAGTGGGGGGGCCAAAGCCCCCCCAGCCCCCCCGTCCCTGATGCATACATGCATACATGCATGAAACAGACTGTGGTTTTTTGAGGTAAAACGAAAAACTATATTACGCTCTATCTATATGGTATTGAGCACTGTTTGTGTTTCGTAAACCAAAATCTTAAGCTATACATATACATATATATATATACATACATACACTGCAAAAAATTATGTGTAAATTTTACACAAAAACGTGTGTAAAATTTGCATCCACAGCAACACATTAATATGTGTACATTTACTAAAAAATATCGGTAAATTTACACATTGTTTGTGTAAACATTACACAAAAATATCGGTAAATTTACACAAATGAAATGCATCCACAGCAACACATAATTTTGTGTAAAATTTCACTTTACACATTGATTGTGTAAATGTTGCACACAAATATCGGTAGATTTACACATGTGTAATGTGTACAGAAATCGCGTGTACACGTTACACATAATATGTAAATTCGTATACATGTTACACATAATATGTAAATAACGGTGATGTACGGAGAACAAGAAACAGTTTCCATGAAAATAATTTATTACCTATAATACAAATAAAACATTTACAAATATACAGTAAGTTATATACACATTCATGCAACAGACAAAATCCTTACACAATTTTCATCTACAAACTACTTTTAGAAACTAAACATTCAATGTCATTTATAAATGAAATTATACCTGTTGGCAATTTCTTACCATCTCTAATCTGCAACACACATTTTTGCAGATACAAACAAAAATTCTTAATGGATGGCGGATAATTAAACATGAAAACATAACAAATTGCCATGAAACACACATACGCATTTAAAACATTTCTGTCCATAATTTGGCAAACCACTTGCTTTTCTGCAGCAACCATGACCTCACTTGGAGCTTCCAGTGATCCTTTGATAATTATTGTAGGCTCTGGTGCCAATTCTTCAATATATTGAAGGACATCATCATCATCCTATTATTGTTAAAATAAAAAAAATATTTGTTATAATTGTAATAACAATCAACGAGATGGCTATATGCTAGCCCGAACTCGTATCAGGTCCTGTTTCCCTTCCTAAAATGCAAGTGTATGCACACATCCCTGTCCGGCTGCATGTAAAAAAGCCAAAATCCTGCTCTTCACCTGATTGGTCTATCAGACTAAAAAATTTGAATCTCTCTTTTGATTGGTTAGCACTAATTAGATTATACTATTATTAGCAGTTTTAACTATATAATTAGATTGTTGTTGTTCAGTTTTGCGAAATTGACAGAATATATGGAGGAGGGGTGTAGAATATATGGGTATAGAGAGATGGGATTAAGGTTTGTGTCCGACTCTATTTGTAAAATAAAGCCTGATACAATATCCATAATTATGCAGTTTGCACCATGCATGTACATGCACCATGAATGACCGACCAATTTTCAATTCCTTACTTAGTTGTCAGGTTAAAATACAGTAGATATTGTGTTCAACAGATCTTACCTCAATAATGTGAACAAGATTATAATCTTGATTCTTCCCTCTCTTGTCTAGCAAAGCAGGAAGGACAGACATTGCAACCACTGCTTTCTCTTCTAAATTATGAAATAAGGTTATCGTTAAACAGAGTAATATAGATATTAAAGATGTTCAAGTTTGACATCCACTACCCCTATTGTTACCTGATGTACCAATCAGGAGCCAGTTGTTCAAAAGCTGGTTAGCTTAATCGTAGGTTAATGCAAATTTCAAAGCAATCTTCCCAACAGCTTGTTTAATTAGAAACATGAGGATAATTTTCTAAAATTCAAGTCTGAATCAACAGACATTTTATTTTCCAACGTTTTGAATTAAACAGAAGTGCAAATGTACCCAATCTAAAACAGCGGGTTAAATTTTAACCCGGCGTTAGCACTAACCCAGCTTTGAACAACCGGTCCCAGATGTGTTTAATCTACCTGACTACCCAATGACATGCATGTGCTGAGCCTGTGAGAGACAGGTGGCAAAATGTTTTTTAGCAATCGGTGTATGCATTCATGAGTTAATTTAACCCATTGAGTGGTGGCCCTCTCTACCCTGACGAGTAAAATCATATGGCATTAGACAGAGTAAAATAACAAAGTAGGGTGCATCTGGGTGCATTGCCACTTAAAGGGTTAAACAATCATGGTTTCATAGCATATAATTTACCTTCAGTGTTATCAGTCTCCATATCATCCAAAGGATCAATATCATTGTCCAACAACTTCAAGAATTTGTCAACAATAGGCTTTCTTCCCCTGACCTTGGCTGCCATACCCAATATTGCATCACAAACTTGGAGAAAGTTTTGTTTAAATGTCTCCTCTGTGCTTGTGCATACAGCCAATAATCTTTCGAATTCTGCAATAATCTAAAATAATGGAACAATTTTCAAAACTGCAGCCTTTCAAAAGTAAATACAGACCATTTCCAAATTACGCTCTAATTGTCAAGAACAATAACACGAAGTTGAGGCTTGGTGCTAAATTGTAATGTTGCCAGAGCAAATTAGCATGTAAGCATTGACTGGGTGTTATTGTTTATGAGAATTCAGAAATGGTCTATTGCTAAAAATATTTCTTTTAATTGATATATACATGGTCATGCACATATCAAAGCAAAACATTTAGTAAATATAATTACAAATATTTAATAATCACCATGCAAACCTTCAATTAGCCTGCGCGGCAGGCCCTCAATTTTATGGGGGGCCTGAGTTTGGCAGGCACCTGCTGCAAATCAGGTCCTTCATAAAATTGAGGGCCTGTCACGCAGGCTATTACCTTGAATAAACTTTTGAAACCCTGCATTTAAAGCATGCATGCTAAATAGTGACTTGCATAATAATATAGAGATTCAGATTTGAATTCCACTGCCGCTACCTCCAACTGGCTTAGTATGCATCTGATTGGTTAATCTAATATATCAAATGTGTCTGATTGGTTGATGCATGGTCCCTTAATGGTAGTGGTAATGGATTAAGTCAAATCTGAACCTCTATAATAGGTTGTGCCATACAGATCGCATGGGACCTGCATGTACATGCAATAATCAAAAAAGCACAACTTACTTCTTCATGGCAAAAGAGTGCTGGAAACTCAGACTTAATGTCCACAAGTGGTAGCTGGGCATTCATCATTCTCCTTCTCCCAGGGAATGTCAAAATCATCCACTTTCTCAACTTTTCCCGGTCGGGATTGGCTTTGGACCATTCGTTCTGCATGTACTCGATGTGCTTCTTCAAAGATGTTTCATCCTCTGCTTCTGGGAATGGAGGTGCGTAGTTGATGGCACCTCTTCTTAAGTTGGCGTTGGGACTGGAAGTGGCTGTTTTCTCTTTCCTCTTGTGCATGATAACAACATCATCACTCTTGTTTCTTCGTTCATTATGAAATTTTTCATAGAGTTGGGCAAGCGAAGAATCCTTTAAAAATATGTATAATTATTCAAGTTTAACAAGAGATATAGACTGGTTAAGGATTTTCACCAACACCAAAAAGCCATTGAATGATGGCCGAATAACTGTGTTACGTGACAATAATTATTTGACCATGAAAGCATTAGTTTGGTATAAATTAAGCTATATATATTGCATGGAACTTGAGTTGAAAAAGAAGTTCAAATGACAAAGAATTCCAGCAACAAAAGGTGATATGTGTGCAACCTAAATTACCCCAGCCCCTCAAATTTCACAAAGCATCTGCCACTGAATATAAAATTTTACTTCTCACAGGCAAAGTTATATGGCTTTTTTACATCCAAATCTCTCAGTCAAGAATTCTATTTTTAGCACAAAATTTACTTACATGGCCAGATCCAACAGATTTGTCTTTTAAGAAAGGATAATGCTTTACCACCAAGTGAACAATTTCTAGTAGCTGGAATCTAGTAGGGTACCTACAACGATATATGCCAGAAAAATAAGAACATACAGTAACAGTAAATATGGATGAAGCGCGGTCAGGTGATTTTGGTCAGTGATCGTCTTGTTACACCAACTAAGATAACTAATGGTACATAAATGTCCTAAATCTACTTACAGTGTATATTGTGAAAAGTGCTCGTATAGATGGGCAATAAAAGAATTCCTCAGTTTCCGGGTCAATTTTGAACAATCCTTTGAAGCCAACACGTTAGCAAGGTCAGGTCTTAAATTTGTAGGCAGCTCAACTCTAGAAGGCCATGGTTGCCTTGCATTTAGCACCACCTTGTCCGGACTTGGGCTAAAAGTTATTGATTTCCTAGGAACAAAAATATCAATACATATTATATGCAATAATGGTTTCTCGTAACAGTGTTTATCACTGTCAATGACTTTTCAATCTATTAAAAGTTGTGAACTTTCAGGGGAAAAGTAATGGGATGCACCTGCAGGTAGTGCATGTTTCCCATCTACCAAAGCAGGAACATAGGAGGGGGAGTAGGGATTATAATAGGTTTAAACCACATCAAAATTCTTTGAATTTACAGTTAATCCATTAAGCACAAGTGTTCTCCCCTTGACAAGTAATATTGTCTGGCATTAGACAAAGTAAAATTATAATAAACTTGACTCTGAGTCAATGGATTAAGGCACCGGTCATAAAGTAACTGCTTAAGGGTGGACTGGAGTGATTTGGGATGGGCCATGGAAAATCTTTGGGCAGTTTCGATGGGCCGCCAATTTTTTGTATGTCCACAGTTGGGCCACCAAACAAAAACCCAATCATGCATGTCTACTTCAAAAAATAAAGATATTAATAATAAAAGTAAACAAAACTATCCAAATTATTAAATGCAAATGATACTATTGAATCCAGTACTTTGTTTATACAACAAGAAGAAGTGGTCGAATCACAGCAAATACAACCAACTGGAGAGCAGCTCAGTATCAACGTGACTTGGTCAAGCTTGGTGGAATTATGTATGTCAATACAGTGCTGTGTATATTTACAATGTTCATACCTGCAAGTTTTTTTTATTATAAAAGTGTATTTTCCCAATTTAGATTGGGTGGGTCATGAAATTTTTTTTATAAGATTAGATGGGCGTTGAAATTTTTATCTATACCTAAGATGGGTCACCAAACTTATTGGCAAAATTTGTGATTTACCTCCAGCCCACCCTAGCAGTTACTTTATGACCAGTCCCTAACTAGACACATGAGCAGATAGGCCTGTTAACCCATTAAGCACCAGTGCTCTCCCCTTGACAAGTAAAATCGTCTGGCATTAGACAGTGAGAGTAAAATAATAAAGTAGGGCGCACTAGGGCACAATGCGACTCAATGGGTTAACTAGACACATGGGCAGATAGGCCTATTAAGCGCCAACTGGCACTCACCCCTTGACAAGTAAAATTATCTGGTGTTAGAGTAAAATAGTTTGGCATAAGACAGTGTAAAATAATAAAGTACTTAGGGCACATCAGGGTGCAATGCGACTCAATGAGTTAAGGTATTTTGAGAATTGAAATTTAAAAAACAGTCAGTATTATTTATAATAGATGTTTACATGAGACCGGGACAAAAATAACTCCGGTCTCAAGTCATTCCGCCTGCTGGACCAAGCCGACTGACTTCAGACCGACATGAATTCAGACTGGGATGAATGTAAACACAAATATATTTCAGACTGGTCTCGGCTATAACCTTGACAAATGTTGGAACAACACATGCTAACAAAAGCCATCTAAAAAGAAAAATTGCCTGGCAAGGGGAATAAATTGAAAATGTTGTGATTTTCATACTGATCTCATGTAGACAATTTCAATTTTCATTCCGGTTTGACTTTGTCCCGGTCTCATGTAAACAGGACCTAAATCCTAGACAACCCAATGAGGCAAAAGCTTTTCATTGGCAAGTAACATCATCTATCAATTATCTTTAAAATAGTGAAGTATGACAAATTATTTTTCACCCTGCTCGGTTTCCTTTGTTCTTGTCGGGGAATATATTCAATATTCCCCTCTAATCAATTTCCGTTTAATAATCCCCTCTAATATTCACCTGCAATTAATAATCCCCTCTAATATTCACCTGCAATGTCTTTGCAGCACAAAAAAAAAACGAGAAAAAACAGCATCGCAAAGGCAATATGGCATTAAGAATTATTTCTTTTCTGACTCATTAACGCGACCTCGCAGTGTGAAAAATAAGTATGTTAGTTTGAGGCACCTCGGGGATATATGTTTAATCACCTCGGCGCTGCGCGCCTCGGTGAATAAATCACATATCCCCTCGTTGCCTCAAAATAACCTATACTTATCTACTCTGGTCAATCCATATTAATTAATAAGGCTTACTACATTCCCCTTGATGAGAAAATGGTCTGGTATTGAACAGAATAAAATAACAAAGGGTCATTTCAGAAAACATAGAGCTATACAGTAGATCCCTTTTCCGTTCAGATGTCTAGTATATATTTAAATATTCAAGTGAACTACCCCTGCCCTCTCTGGACAGCATACATTTTCTCCATAGGCATGGGAGGAGTGTAAATATTGTATATATTATTAACAACACTTCTAACGGTGAAAAATATATAAATTTGTATAAACAATACCTTATCTTGCTTTGAGTGGCTGGGGTAGAGAATTTATTAGTTCTTGGATCTTTCTTGCTTACTGGTGAGCAAACTACGCCATCAGGTTGGCAGTCGGATGGTACTTCATTGATGCCTCTCTTCGATTCCTCTTGAAGCTTTTTCAATTTGGAAAGCACTTTCATGCGATGGCCGATAACCGGCACCAAAAGCTCCAGTGCTCTCTCGGTAAGCTCAATCAAGGCCTCTTTATCTATTTGGTTCTCTACAATTGGTAATCAACAAACAAACATTAAGATTTGTGTGATTTGTTTCAGATATAATACAACTTTGTCGATCAATGAAAGGCGACGCAACAGTTGAATTAATATTGGACCAGCATAGTTAAAGATTAAAAGACGGTATTAACGGTGAATAAAGATCAACTTACCCTGAAAGACAGAAGAATACTCAGAAAATCCATTTTCCCCTAACCACGATTGGACGAAATCCATTGCCAAAGCGGATAGAAGTTTTGTAAAAATGGAAAATTTTGCAGCAAAACCTCGTTCTGTAAAATGCGATACGAAATGTGCTTTTTAGCATAGGGACGCTATCGTAAAATTAGAACATAACCGCGTCACCTATACAAGCAATGATTGGCCCAATGGTTAATCACATGATTTACCATGTGATTTACCACCTAATTTTTCGATCACATGTGGCGAGTGCGAGAAACGTTTTACGAAATTTACGTCTTTTAATTCCCACATTTGCAGAAAACACGGAAATAACGACTTGCTAACAGTTGAAGTGCAACACAATAATGACTTAGAGAACGATGGAGAACTGGCAGACTCTGATAACGAGCACGACGAAGATTTGCACGATCAAGATAATTCCGTTGACAACATCACATGACATGATTCCTAGCCTTATTTATTTTAAAGACAAAGGAAATGAATCAACTCAGCCAACAAGCATTGAACGCTATGGTATCAAATACTGAAGATATTGTGGAGCGGAGCCTAGATGCCTTTAAAAGTAAAGTTGTGCACTGTCTGCATGAAAATGGCATCGAACCAGAAGAAGTGCAAGCGTTAGATACAGTTCTTCATGACCAAAGCGATTTTGCCAAAGCCTGCGAAACATTAAAAACCGAATACCTCCAGATCAAGTACTTCGTTGAAAAGTTCCACCTAGTTGTAAGTATTTTATGTGAATTACATTCATAGCACTTTCTCATTGCATGGGTGATGAATTACGGTACCGCATGCCCCCCTCTTATCCTGGGACCAGGGGTGGCGGAACAGGGGGGCTAGGCGGGCTAAAGCCCCCCAGAAGTAAAAGTGGGGGGGGGGGCTTAGGCCCCCCAGAAAATTTTGTTTTTTCTGGAAGAATTTTGATAATTAAGGAAAAATTTAGTGTATTTTTTGAAAATTTAGGTATAAGGGGAACAATTTGCAATATTTTGTTTAAAAATTGTGTATGTCCGGAAAAAAAATTTTCATCCCTTTTCTTGTATATGTCCGGAAAAATTTCTGTACCCCTACAATGGTACACTGACCGAAAATTTTTTGGCGACGGGGGAAGGTCACAGAAAAAAATTTTTTAGCCCCCCCAAAATGAAATCTGTTCCGTCGCCACTGCCTGGGACATTGTGGGGTTGACCCTGGCCTGGCCGAAAGTAAAATTACAAGAAAACAATATATACAGAAAGTTTATTACTTCAAGCTTTTGTAAAAACACACATTTTTAAATAAAATTCTTACCCCAGGGACCAGAGAGATGACATGAAATCAAAAGCACACCCATAGTGTAGTTATAATGCCCAACTCGAATACAAGTTTATTCGCCCCCAAGTTGTATCACCCCCAAGTCATTAGATGTTAAAGTTATTTCGGCCCCCTGAAAATCACCGCACAGGGAATTGTTTTGTTCTTCTATTGTAAAAAACTAATCAGCGCATCGATCTCTGCATTTGATCGATTGTAGAAAATGAAACACTTAGCCCTAATTGTAACTTGTTCTTGCATGCGTGTTTATATATTTTACAAAAAATTGTTTATCACCTTATCGGATAGGTTTTTTGGGGGCGAAACAACTTCGACATCTAATGACTTTGGGGCGAAATGACTTTGATATCAAATGACTTGGGGGCGAATTGACTTGGGGCGAAATGACCAGATACCCCCAACTCTCCCAATTTTCAGGGGTTTCAATTACCTAGTGCTAATTATCATGGTTTTTGCCAATGAAATGATGCACATATTATTTATAGCTCTCTCTGCAGTGGTTTGGTCAAAACAAAAATTATATACTTGTGTGTTACAACATTTCAGTATACTGTATTGAAGGCACTTCATCATAGTCTTTCCCAAAGAATTTAGCATTTGAAATTATGATAATATAACAGAATTAGTCAAAAATTAAGCCAAATACGACTTGCTCCGATTCCAATCCGGGATTGTGTAACTGCACTGGAGAAAACCACAGGGCTGCTGAGTGTCCAAGTAAGAGAAGTTGCCAACAATGCGATCGACGTCATCACACATCCATCTGTGACCAGACTGGGGAACCAGCAGGAATTTCCGGGGGGGACGGTGGTAGTAAAAAACTTTACACTACAAACCAATCGAGCGAAGGTGTTTTCCCTGTTGTGAATGTGTGTGTAAACGGAATTTTATGCAGAGCTTTGATAGACTCTGGAGCGGGAAGTTCCTACGCATCAGCAAGGTTAATACACGAACTTCACATTAAACCCCTAGATGTACAAACGAAGAAGATCGACATGCTTATGTGTTCAAAACAAGCACGTTTAGAGACATACGAAGTTAAGATTGAATCAACAGAGAACAATTTCGCCATGACAACAAATTTAATCAAAGTCGATAAGCCAGAATTGCTTTTCGTTGAGAATCCTGACTATGAAAATCTTATCAAAAAATATCCACACTTGACGGGAGTGACCATAAAAGATCAAGACAAAAAACCAATGCTTCCTGTTCATGTTGTTCTGGGCAGTGGAGACTACTCTAGAATAAAAACTGAGACACCGCCTAGAGTTGGAAAGGACATGGAACCAGTTGCAGAGCTGACTCAACTAGGATGGTTCTTGATGTCACCAGGGAAAGAATTCGACAGGAAGACAATGTTGCTCACTCAAACAAATCAGTTGGATTACGAACAGTTGTGTCGCCTTGACGTTCTTGGTGCTCCCGAACACGATCAACGGGTAGTTTACAACAAGTTCAAAGAACAGCTCACCAGAAACCCTGAAGGCTGGTATGAGATGGGATTGCCGTGGAGAGGGAATTTCCCAACATTACCAACGAATGAACAGGGAAGTCGACACCGGCTCGAAAGCCTGGTTACTAAGCTGAAACGCGAGGTGCTGATGAGTGAGTACAACACTATCATTAAAGATCAGAAGCAGAGTGGAGTAGTTGAGCCAGCCGAGAGTCCAGCAAAGGGGGTAGAGTTTTACCTACCCCATAAACTGGTAGTAAGAGAAACGGCGAAAACTACGAAAGTGCGAATCGTGTACGATGCGTCGGCCAAACAGACACGTGACAGTCCGTCACTTAACGACTGTTTGCACGCAGGCCCTCCACTCCAAAATAAGCTATGGGATGTACTTGTCCATCAGCGTGGTTATCCGGTCGTGGTGTCGGGGGACATTCAAAAGGCGTTTCTGCAGGTGAGAGTCAGAGAGAACGAACGCGATGCCCTGAGATTCTACTGGCGAAGTGAGGAAGATTCGCAGTTAGAAACGTTGCGATTTACGAGAGTGTTGTTTGGGTTGGCACCCTCCCCATTTCTCCTCGCTGGAGTGATCAAGCAGCATCTCAACTCATGGGAAGAAAGGTATCCTGATATCGTCGCAGAACTACGCAAAAGTTTGTATGTAGATGATTTGCTCACCGGTGGGCAAACCCAGTTTACTTACCGAACACTAGCACATTCACGGAGAAATTAGTACAAGAAGCACACTTGCGCACTCTCCACGGGGGAGTCGGATTAACAATGACACAGATTCGAAAGAGGTATTGGATACCCAAGTTGAGAAGTTTGGCTAAACGACAAATCAAAGCCTGTTGTGGCTGTCGCAGATTTCAAGCAACTGCTATGGTCAAACCGCCACCTGGAGTGTTACCAAAAGAGCGTACGGAGGGAAACCACGCGTTCCAAGTCATTGGAGTCGACTACGCTGGCCCACTGAAATACCGTAAGAAGTCGGGGAAGGGAAAGCGTATATAGTTCTGTACACTTGCAGTCTTACCAGGGCTCTCTATCTGGAATTAACAGCGACCATGGAGACAAGAGAGTTCCTTCCAACTTTGAAACGATTAATTGCAAGACAAGGGAGACCCGAAAAAATCTTCTCCGATAACGGTCGTAGATTCGTGGGAGCAGCACGTTGGATCAAGACGGTGATGGCAGACGAGAAACTTCAAGATTTCCTGGCGGGTCAGGAGATCAAATGGCAGTTCAATCTTAGCCGTGCTCCCTGGTGGGGTGGGCAATTCGAGCGAATGGTAGGGTTGGTCAAGAATTGTCTATACAAGGTTATCGGGAATGGTTGCTTAACCTGGGAAGAGTTAGCAGACGTGTTGTTGGACATCGAAATCACACTCAACAACAGACCTCTGAGTTACATTGAAGATGATCTGGAGAATCCAGTTCTAACACCAAACTCTCTCATGTTCATATCATCTAATGTCCTACCGGAAATGGAAACGCACCATGTAGAAGATAGAAATCTTCGGAAACGAGCCAAATTCTTGAAACGTTGCAAAGAAGCTGTTTGGAAACGATGGGCAAACGAATATGTGCGAGGGTTACGAGAACGACACATCATGCTTAAAGGGAAGCCTTTTACTCTATCGGTCGGAGACGTCGTTATAATTAAATCAGATGAAAGAAACAGAGGAGAATGGCCGCTGGGAATTGTACACAAACTATTCGAAGGGAAAGATGGTGTCGTAAGAGCGGTAAAGCTACGTGTGGGGAAAAGTTTCATGGAACGACCAGTGCAACATCTTTATCCATTAGAGTTAAGTTGTGACATTGGAACCAGACAGACAACCAAGACGACCACCGAGTTGAATGCAGAGGCCACCGAGTTCAGGCCGAAAAGAGACGCAGCTGTTGCCGCGAGGCTTCGCAACCAGATGATCGTTGATGATTGAAAAGTTAAAGAAACAATAGTCACATAGAATCAGTCTACTGTTAGACATATATCTCCTAAAGAGATATATGGGGGAGTGTGTCGTAGACTGACGTCACACGATAATAATAACTTTAGTTAAGAACTGTCAATGAAACAAAATAACAAAGCGAAACAGTGAGCGAGACGAGACATGGCGAGATGCATATACGGTTTTAAATAGATTCTACTTGAGATTTTGTAAAACATTATTATTGAGAAAACGAACAGTGAAGGGACGAGAGACGAGAAGTTTATACGAATGGTTAAACCATAAATAAGTATTCATATTGGCGTAATAATAAAAGTTATAATATCAACACGAGAGAGTATATTATTTCATACAATTTTACGGGGGCAACAATATTTACTACACATTAAAAATTAGCATAGGACAACCTGATAGCTCCGCCATAATGATTGCATTATGCCCAATGTTGTTTCCTTGTCAGATGAGTAAAATCATAATATTTTGTATTGTCAGGAACCAAGGGAAGTAATCATGAGTCAACATACAGAATTCAGGCTCATTCGTGGACAGAACAGATTACAGTTGGTGAAAGAATCATTCCAGTATGTCCCAATATTAGAAACACTGAAAGCATTGCTAAACCAGCCTGATGTTCTAGCAGAGGTATATCAACTTTGTTTCTCATGTACAGTACAATATGGTTTTAAAAAGGTTTTCTCTTTTGTTAAATTATTTAAATAACCTATTAATTACCCTGCCTACTCTTTACTTATACTTACATGCCCTCCCCCACAGACAAAATTGGAAGTTAAGCCGCCTACCCCCTTTGGACATCCTAGTTATACACTTTCTGCTATCAGAAACAAATTTTTCTTCCCTCCCCCTATGGACGACAGAAATTTCCTCTATGGGTATGGATCTTTTCTGGAATGATTCTCACCAAAACTTTTAGTGTATCTGAAAGCATGATGCTTTAATTAAGCTAGCTTGAGTCCCAAGAGCAAATGGTCAAACAAGAGATGCATGAGAGTTGACTGGATCTTATTGTACCTGTCAAATTAATTGGGCAGACACTCTCGTCAACTTTCATCAAAATTTGAACCAATGTCAATGAGAGTTTGCAGTCAAATACAAACAAGAATTTCAACAATCATCAACTCTCTGAGATTTAAATTGTCAAATCTTGCAGGTACATAACCCTCATCAAACAGATGATGATACAATTTGTGATTTTTGTGATGGGGAAGACTTCAAAACTCATGAATTATTTGGGCAAAATGCACTTGCTCTTATTCTTCATTGCTACTTTGATGAATTCCAAGTTACCAATCCACTTGGATCAAAGACAAAAAGACACAAACTAGGTAAAAATATATATTACAAAGTGTCATACTTCAATCTACTTCTTTCTGAATGCTGTGCTAAATAGTAATTTTGGGTTAGTCAAGACTCAAGAGGCACTATTTCATCACGTTTATAATATGTCATTGTCCAAATTTATTGCAGTGTATATCTGTATTGATATGGATACTCTAGCTAGTAGCATAGACAGTGGAATGCGGGAAGGCAAACCAGAGTGGAAGAAATCAATGCGAAGATGTCAAACAATATGACATACTTTAGTGTTTGCAAGTCAAATGTTCACAGACTCCAGGGAGTATGCTCCCAGGAATATGTTTGCCTACAGCTCCCACACCAGACATATTATCTTTCACTGCCTATGGATCGATTCTAGCAATTCAAAGGCTGTACGGAATATTAATTACTACAGTATATGCAACCTGAAAAACCCAAGTGTCCAAATTGATACCAGTGACAAGTCGTATTGTGAAGTAGATAAGATAGTCATATCAAAGTACAGTAGATCTTCATTAACACCAGCCTGACACCGAGCAGGTACAGTTAGTACTAGTTATTTTACCCGTAATTTGTCAAGCAATTCACATTAACCCATTGAGTGGCAGCACTCTCCACCTGACGAGTAAAATCGTCTGGTGGTAGACAAAGTGAGAGTAAAATACTCTGGCATTAGACAGAGTAAAATACTAATTAAAAGTAGGGTGCATTGCCACTTAAAGGGTTAAACTATTAACCCATTAAGTCTGCATTGCACGGTTGCACCTTGTGCTTGTTACTTTAATTATTATTTTACTCTGTTTAATGCCAGACAATTTTACTTCTCAAGGGAAGAGTGCTGGAAGTGGATTAATTGACTGATCGTATAACAATGTATTTCTTTTTAGGGGCATTTTACTTTATCTTGGGCAACATTAGACCTTGTTATCGATCATGTACAACAATGATCCACCTAATTGCTCTCTGTAAAGTACCCACTCTGAAGAAGTTTGGAATTAACAAGATTTTGAAGCCTTTTATGGAGGATGTAAAGAAATTGGAAGATGTAGGTTAATATGAGGCATTTTGATCAGGCATCATATGTCCCTGTTACAAATTCCAGGTCTGATAAGCTAATTTTGAAAATTTTTCCATCATATTAATAGGAAAGTGGTGTGTCAATAAAACTTGAAGGAAAGGATGATATTTTCAGAGGAAGTATTGGGCCTTTTACTAGTGACAATCTAGGTGCTCACATGCTTGGTGGATATCCCGAGAGTTTTAACAGTCTTAGAATATGTCGATTTTGCATGGCAACAAAACATGAAGTAAACTGCAAGGTAAATGGCCATTGCTTTTTGGGGAATCAAAAGGTTTCATTGTGATAACATAATGAGATGTGGGGTTCACTATCGGTAGTATTGAAAACAAACTGCATACAGTGTTTGTTTTGGTTATACTATGTGCAAACTCTGAAATACACGTATGTACGTGCCCAAACTGAAGGCAGTATAGTTATATATTATAATGGCCATACCCAATTGCTTGATGAATGGTTTAGCAATTGATTACTGGTCACAACCATTCAGATCATCAACAATCACAGTGAACTTTGTTTTATAATTATACTTGCATGTCTACAGAAGTTGTCATGTAATGCATCAGTCAATTCCAGCACTGCCCATCCCCCGCCTGGGCCACCTCCAGCCCTTCGCAGCTTTTCCTAATCCCGGGGGTGGGGCTATCTTAAATGGTCGGTTCCTGAGTGTAGGTGGCAAAGCATGCAGACAGCAAGTGATACAACTGCTTGAAAGAACTTTGATGTTTCAAGTGAAGGCCCTAAGCTAACTAACAGGTCTATAAAGTAACTAACAGGGCTACAAAGGTCCACTGTTTATACAGTTTATTGTAAATTAAAACAATATTGTTTGAAATTAAATTAAAATGATTTATTTTCAATCACTTATATCCTTTTATTTTTTTTTATTAACTTAGTTTCATGAAACAGATTTCCAGCTAAGAACAAGATGTGGCCATGATCAGCATTGGCTTTGGTAACTGAAGATCCATCCTTGGCAATGGTATATGGTGTGAAAAGCAATTCAATACTCAACCAGTCCAGATTTTTCCATGTGGTCGATGGCCTTGATCCTGATATTATGCATAACCAATTAGAGGGGGTGTTGCCCCTGACAGTGAAGCTTATGTTAAAGCATTTCATTCAAGTCGATAAGTATTTGACACTTGATATGCTAAATCACCATATCAAAGCTTTCAATTATGGATCAGCTGATGGAACCAACAAACCAAGTGAACTGAAGCCTACTATATTAAGTAACGATTCTGGTTCAATAAGTCAGTCAGGTAATATGGTAATTAAGTACACTGTGTGTGTGTGTGTGTTGTGGAACTATCTGAAACTAGCTCAGTCATTAGTCTTTGAATGATGGAGGTACAGTATGTATATACCATGAATAAACATATAAAATGAAAATATGCAACTCTTTTCTGTTTTAATTAGCTGCACAGATGTGGTGTCTGTCACGATTTTTGCCATTACTTATTGGTGATTTGGTTCGAGAGGAAAATAGCAGATGGCAAAACTTTATCCTGCTATTACAAATTGAAGAGATTGTGTTTGCACCAAAGACCACTGTTCAATTGGCAGCTTATTTGGATGTTCTTGTTGGGGATTACCATCATTCCTAAGCAGCACTACATGGTACATTACCCAAGACAGATTGTGAGGTACACAGTACACTTAATTAACTAATATGATATATTGATCCCATTTAGTCACATTGCACCCCAACGCATCCTAATTTATTATTTTACTCAGTCTAACACCAGATTATTTTACTCTAGGCTGTCTAATGCCAGATGATTTTACTTGTCAAAGGGAGAGTGCTAGAGCTCAACGGGTTAACTATGAATTTTAGTTCATTTTTTGCTCCATTGAGTTGCATATTGCACCCTGATGCACCCTACATTATTATTTTACTCTGTCTAATGCCAGATAATTTTACTCATCAAAGGGAGAGCGCTGGCACTTAATGGGTTAACTGGCCTTATTTGCCCATGTGTCTAGTTAATCCATTGAGTCGCATTGCACCCTGATGTGCCCTACTTTATTATTTTACTCTGTCTAACGCCAGATAATTTTACTCATGAAGGGGAGAGTGCTGGCGCTTACAGTCAAACCGGATGTTCTCTTGCGAGCAACATTGCAATATTGTCCCACAATATTGCAATTTTGATAGGCATATTCCTCTGAGCAATTTGCAACCGACGCGAACAAATTGCAAGTTGAAATTCACAAAAGATTTGTAAACAAAGCCTCTGATTGGACTATAAGAAAGAAGGAAGCCAGTCAAATAGTCTGAGCGACTGGATTGGTGCTTCCCTCTTTCTTATAGTCCAATCAGAGCCTTTGTTTTCAAATCGTTTGTGAATTTCAACTTGCAATTTGTTCGCGTCGGTTGCAAATTGCTCAGAGCAATCTGCCTATCAAAATTGCAATATTGTAGGACAATATTGCAATGTTGCTCGCAAGAGAACATCCGGTTTGACTGTAATGGGTTAATGCACAATATTATTTCTCTATATTTTAGGAGAGGGCCACTTGTGCGGAACTGGGCCATGTGCTTTGAAGCCAAGCATCATTATTTTAAAAGACTTGTTGGAACAATCAACAACTTTAAGAATATTGAACTGTCTTTGACAAGACGTCATCAAGCATTACAAGCATATCTGCTACAAAGCTCATCTGGGAACTTCCTCAAAATGAATTTAGAACATGGGCCAGCTGGTAAGTATTGTTGGATCAAAATCACCCCCCCCCCCACCCTCTCTATAATAGCTCCAACCCAATTTTAACAGAAAGACATTCATTAACCCCCCCCCCCCCAATTCTCTAATATTATCTAGAATATTTATGGCATTTGTGTGTCAACAAATAATACATGCCAGGCAGATATACTATACATAGATTCATGAATATCCATGAAGTTTTGCAAACCCGATACATGTAACTGCCATATTATTTATCAAATGTCTTGTAAAATATAGCAGCTTATTATGTTATTCTCTTTTCTTCATATGAAGAAGTTTTGGTAGAAGAACTGGATGATCTATACACAGCTGATGAAAGAATAACCAAAGAGAATTCTTTGAAAAGGTACATAACATTTTTTGCTTGTTTGTTTTACCTTTATGTATTTTAATTAATTGTATTATTTTTTATTTCATATTGTGCAAAGAACAACATGGGTGAAAGTCATGGGCACCAAATATTGCAAAGGTTCTATCATCATTACTGGTCTAAGTTATGGTAATCCTGTTCTTGGAGAAGTGATCAAGATATTTGTTTCTGATCAAGGCATTGTTGTGTTGTCTTATGAAAGGCTTGAGTTAATCCAGTATGTCAAACACCTGAATGCCTACAGAGTGGTAAACTCGGGTGAAGTGGACTATATAGCTCAAGATAAGCTTATAGACTATCATCCTCTTGGGAAACACAATGGATTTGGATAAAATGCATCCAGTTATTTCGTGGTCTTATGTTACAGAGTTGACTGTATGTTAGATGTGTGACTAATCATTCAATACAAAATTTAATGTAAATTTTGAAACCTTAATTGCTGCCGTATATCTGTAAAGAGATCATTAAAATAGTACTCTGGTGCTTTTGTATTGTCAGTGGGATTTTACATTTTATTAAATAGTAGAGTGAGATACTGAAAAATACACAGTGAGACATTTTCCATATCCTTCACTAGTGAATTAGATACCGATCACATGCTATCATTGGGACTAAACAGGACATTACATGGTGGCTTGAAGATATGACTTATCTTCTCGTGTTAAAAACAATATTTTACTCGCTCGTTCGTAAAATATTGTTTTCACCACTTGAAGATACAAGTCATATCTTCGCGCCACTGTGTAATATCCTCTATATATTAGTGCTTTCTCATGGCCATACACAGTGTGGAGGGGGGCATATATGTCCAATATAGCCATCGGTTGTCAGGTGGTGAAGATGGTGTAAGATGGTGTCAGATGCTTTGTTTGTCGGACGCTTGTAGTGTGGTGTCGGATGGTGTAGGATGGTTCAGCTGAACAGCTGTTGTCAGGTGGTGAAGATGGTGAAGATGGTCCAATGGGGGGGGGTGTTAATTTTGAACCTACTTGTGTAAGTGTTGCCTCGTTCTTTCAAAACCACGTATATATCAATAAAACCTACCAGACCAACGACAAAAGCGTTATGGCTAATTGTGCATATATAGTGTTGCCTTGTTCTTTCAAAACCACGTATATATCAATAAAACCTACCAGACTAACGACAAAAGCGTTATGGCTAATTGTGCATATATAGTGTTGCTTCGTTCTTTCAAAACCACATATATATCAATAAAACCTACAACACCAACGACAAAAGCATTATGGCTAATTGTACATATATAGTGTTGTCTCGTTCTTTCAAAAACTCGTGTCAAAACGGCAAGGATTAATAAGGTGGTAATTGCTTTTGTTTATAGAATTACATTGCGCAAACATCTATATTCCGAACGATCTGTATTCCTAATTGTTCTGAAACTCAACTATATCGTGCAGTATTTCATGCTCTTTCTAATGACATACAGCAAATTTGGGTACAAGCTCACCAAGGTCCATTATATATGACATTAATGTAGCACAATCGTTTAAAACTGGTTGTGTTAAATGTCGTCACTCGATCGTGTCGAAGTGTCGTCCTTTGTCGATCATTGTAGATAAAATGTGTTGTAATTGATGTAAATTAAATTTAGTATAAAGACCCTGTAAATGGGGCAATAAGCCATGTAGGGATCACCAATCATTAATGACAAAGCTAGTAAATAAATAAAATAAAACGGCAAGGATTGATAAGGTGCTCATTGCTTTAATTTTTTTATAGAATAGTTACACTCATTTCTTTTGTTTATATATTAAATTTAGACAATAGAATTACACTGTGCCAACATCTATATTCAGCAAGCGTTTGTACAAAATTGGCCTCCCTAATTGTTTCAAAACTCAACTATATGTTGCAGGAGTTCATCCTCTTTCCAATGCATGATATACACTAAATTGGGTACAAGCTCGCAAACGTTGGAATGACAAAACTAATGAAAGAAACTTAATCCTAATGATTATACAAAGAAACACAATAATCACATAGTGAGCTAAATTGCGACGCCGTTTATACCGCGAAGCTATACTTCAAACATTTTATAGCAATAAACGAAGGAAATTTGGGATCACTAGTACTAGAATTCGTATATTACCACGTAAGCATCTTTTCGAAAGGCTGGTTATACATGAAATGCTTTCTGCTGTTATTAATTCTGTTCTGTATTGGACAGAGGGTAACTCTCTCCACTGTTAATCCAATTTATATTAATCGTAGCCATAAATTTTGCGATAATAACTTTAAATGCAGTGTCTTAAATGTTCAATTTCTCCCACAAGAAGCTTATTTTCCTATTTTATGCACAGCATACGATAGATATGTTGCATGTATTGCTCATGTTACTGCTAATTTAAAGTAAAAAATACCTTAAAAGTAGCTGCAGAAAAAGGGTTCAAATAATCTATATTTGAATAATTGAATACAGTTGAATGTGAGGTCCAATCTAAAGGCCCTGTCACACTATTGCGTATCGTATACTAGCGTATGCCAGCGTATGAAAAATATCAATCATATGCCGGTATACGCTGGCATACGCTAGATGTACGTTGGGCATAGGTTGTATACGTTTTAAGCATGGTCGCGTACGGTGGCATACTCGGGCATACGGCGAGGCAGAAAAATTTTTTTAAGCATGTTCAAAAATTTTATGCGTATTGGACGTATGCTTTATACGATAAGCATACTCTAGGCACACGCTGAATACGCTAGCGGTACGCCAGATGTACGGTACTCATACGCTGGCATTTCAAAGGATTTTTGTTTTTGTGCGTATGAAAATTATTTCATTAATTTTCATACGCTTCTCATACGTTTCTCTCATACGCAATAGTGTGACAGGGCCTTAATTTAATTTAATAATTTCGTCACCTTTATATAGATATATACAAAAAATGTATGCTACGCAACACTAACACAACATTCTTACAAGATAACACAATAAACATAGACGTGACTGGAGAAAAGAACAGGACTTGCGTCCCAATTGACACTTTACCCCTATCAATACTAGTATATGATTTAAACAAACAACTATATTATATAACATTAAATTTACTTAGATGCAGCCAGGAGGACTATATGATAGTCATTTAGCATTATAGAAGTCGATATGGATATACTAGAGTTAATTACTAGAGATTTCAGTTCTGATGAAAGACTGTTCCACAGGTTGGCTGATCTTATAAAAAAAGAGTTCCTAAAGTAGTCCTGTTTGTGATTAATCAGAAATGTTGAAATTGTTTTCGTCGTAATTGCGTCGTGATTTATAGCCTGGTTCGAAGGTGCATAAATAGTTATCGACATCCATAGATATTAGTCCGGTTTTTTATTTGAAAACTAGCAACAGGTCGGAGATCTCTCGGCGGAATTCTAATGGCAGGAGGTTTGTTTTAATTAGCCTCTCTGTATAGGACATTTCGTTCAGGTAGTTCAGTATAAACTTCGTCACTCGCCGCTGAATATTTTCAATCAATGATTTGTGTTTGATGGTATATGGCGACCAGACATTACTGGCATATTCCAGCTGGGGCCTAACCAGGGTGCAATACATGAATACAGGAGTCTTCTTGTAGCGTAGTCATGCATGTTCCATATTTATTTCTTAAGACCGAAGCTGGGGCCCAATCCGCGGCTACCTTCACAGTGCTAAAACATTGTTATCAATAAGCGAAGGCATTGCTGTAAATCTACTTACGAAGTTTTGGACATTCAACCAGGGCCCTATAAACCTACACGCGCTTAATATAGTCATAGTTAACGGACCCGAACACAAAAACGGAAGCCGTCTCAAATTTCAACACTTTGATTTATAACATACATATGTCTCCCTTGGATGCCTCAAAATTTCTCCCATTTATACACTAGTTGTCTATTTCCCTTACATACAATAGAGTTCAAACATGACGCCCCTATACAGTAAATCTACCCAACCGAATTACAGTAAGAAACTGTTGCTTGTAGAAATAAAAGCCTACAATGAAGATTTTTCTGTCAACGCCGCGCGATTATTACCTCGAACATGTATGTCAAATGTGATATTTTGCCCAATACTTTGAATTACGTTTCCCACATGAGAACCGCATTGTGAGATATCATATATATTCATATTATATTTTTATTTATTACCTCCAACGTGTCTGTCAAATGCGTTTTAATATATTTTGCCAAATAAGCCTACTTTAAATTGTGAGTTCCTACATGAGAACCGCAACGTGAGATATCATATATTCATATTATATTTTTATTTATTACATCCAACATGTCTGTCAAATTAGTTTAAATATATATTTAGCCAAATATTTTAAATTGCGTTTCCCACATGAGAACCGCAACGCGAGATATCATATATTATATTTTTATTTATTACGTCCAACATGTTTGTCAGATGCGTTTAAATATATATTTTGCCAAATACTTTGAATTACGTTTCCCACACGAGAACCGCAATGTTAGATATAACATTATATTTTTATACACATACAATAGTTGGCTAAAGTTTATGCAAGTAATAATAAAATATAGCAATGTAATATCTAATATAACCTACACATCCTACACTGAATGACAACCCGCGACCATCATACACCATCTGTACCATCTTCACCATCTGACAACGCTTCCCTGTAAACCACCCTACACCATCATACACCATCCGACAACCATATGACACACTTCGACCATTATACACCACCATACACCATCTGACAACCATCTGACACACTTCGACCACCATACACAATCTGACACATTTCGACCATCATACACCATCTGTACCATCTTCACCATCTGACAACCCTTCCCTGTATAACCACCCTACACCATCATACACCATCTGACAACCATCTGACACACTTCGACAATCATACATCATCATACACCATCTGACACACTTCGACCATCATACACCATCATACACCATCTGACAACCATCTGACATACTTCGACCATCATACACCATCTGTACCATCTTCACCATCTGACAACCCTTCCCTGTATAACCACCCTACACCATCATACACCATCTGACCACCATCTGACACACTTCGACCATCATACACCATCTGACAATCATCTGACACACTTCGACCACCATACACCATCTGACAACCATCTGACAACCATCTGACACACTTCCACCATCATACACCACCGTACACCATCTTCACCATCAGACATCAGATGCCTGTATTGGACATTACTCGAGGGGGGGGGGAACTTAAATGATATACAGTATCCGGCTGGATATTTTTTATATCCGGCCAGATACCAGATAAGAATGGCCCTAACCAGCATGGATATCCTGCCAGATAAAATAACCGGT